AGAGATTAAATCACCTGCTCAAGGTCACACAAGGAGTATATGGTAGAACTGGAATTCAAACCCAGGTCATCTGACTCCAAATCCAGCAGTTTTTCCACTGTAGCACACCACTCTTCAAGGAGGATGATTACTAACATTGGTTGGGAACAGAAGCCAGATAACAAAGGGCTGAGCAGTGAATGTAAAATACTCTTGTACAGTTGACCCTTGAAGCAGTGACAGTAGCTCTGCCTTCTCAAGGACTGCCCTTCTCCAATAAAGCCATAAAAGAGGGGCAGGACTCTTAAGAATTAGAGCTGCCCAAAAGTGGAATGGGCTATCTTTGAAGGTAGTGAGTTTCCCCTTATTGAAGGTCTTCAAGTAGAAGAGGGGTTCCCAATCTGGGGTGTGTACCATTTTGGATTCAAAAAGCTTGTCAAGGGCATACAGCACATATTTGGGAAATAACTCTATTACCCTAATTAAATTAAGTAGTTTTTTCTTCCTATGTGAATATGCATGATAAAACAATAGATTTCTTTTCCACCACAACTGCCTGCTGCACTTCTACACAGTCCGCCTGGTACCTTGGGGACAACTCCATCCTGAGGCTGACTCAAGATTGGTGAGATCTTGCCTGGAACCATCCTACTACGGGGCCAACCCACGCTAATCTCTCTACCGTGTACTCACCCCTCCAGGCTGTTCCCACCACACCAGTGGTCTGACCCTTGTCAGTTCATCTTCCTTCTTCCCCTTCCTGTTTGTCTTCCCCTATTGGAATGGAAGTTCCTAGAAAAGTAGGGACCATGTCCTTTTGTTTTGTTTTCTGTTTTTGGTCCTCTTAGCACTCAGTGTAGCACCTGGCACACAGTAAGCACTTACCAAATGCCTGCTCCACTTATCTATCTATTGATCTTTCATATTGAATAGGCAGGTAAAAGAAGGGATATGGGGACCAAAAAATGTTGGAAGCTCCTGTAGAGGCTGAACAAACATTTGTTAGAGATGCTGTAGAAGGTATTCTAGTTCAGGTATGGACTGGACTACATGGTTTCTGAGGTCCTTTCCAATGATCATTCAAGAACTTTCTGTTTGTTTTGTATGTACTCATATCTCTGCAACCCCAAAGCATAGCACAGTATATGGCAGGTGCTTAATAAATGTTTGCTGATTGACAGTGAGAACAGAAGGGGTAGGTTTGGGAGCTTAAAGGGGAGGAGTAGTTTTGAAGAATCAGCTATGGAGGGCACACAAAAAAAGGTAAATCAAAGTGGAGTAAAAGGACTACCAGTTAGAAATGGCCTAATTCTTGATTTCCTTCAAAAGCTTGGAGACAGGGGTAAGAGGCAGACCCTCCCTTCTTCCCAATTTCCTTAGTTCTGTTAAGGTACTGCCATTCTTTCTGTGACCCAGGTTTGAAACCTTGTAGTCATCCCTGACTTGTCCTCCCTCTGCCCCTTCCTAATCAGCTGCCGAGTCTTGTCGATGATTTCTCCAGAGCAGTCCTCCCACCCCTCCCATTCTCTCCACTCTCACTGTCCTAGGTCACAAATTCACTGCCTCTTGCCTGACCTATCTCATTGGCCTCCTAATTGGCCTCCCTGTTCAAGTCTTTTCCATTTCCAATGCCATCCTCCATCCAGTTGCCAGAGGGATGATTCTAAAGTGCAAGTCTGACCATGTCACTCACGTCCTTTGGGATCAATGTTTGGGACACCAAATCCATTGACTTTCTCAGCCTCATTATACATGGCTCCTCTTCATGCACTCCTCAGTCTAGCCAACTGGCCTTCTTGCTGTTCTCATGCACCATATTCTAGCTCCTGTCCTTGTGCCTTATTACAGGCTGTGCCTTCATGCCTCAAGTGCCCTCCCCTCTAACCTCCATCTCTTAGAATCCCTAGTTTCCTTTGGAAATGTCTTTCCTAGACTTGTACGGTCTGATGCTGAGTGAAGTGAGCAGAACCAAGAGAACTTTGTACACAATAACAGCCACATTGTGCGATGACTAATATTGATAAACTTAACCCTTTTCAGCATTACAAGGATCTAAGACATCTCCAGAGGCCTCATGATGGAAAATGCTATCCACATCCAAAGAAAGAACTATGGAAGTTGAATCGCTATCATTTTTTTTCCCTCTTCTGTTGAGTTTTGTTTCCTCTTTCTGATGGTTCCTCCTATTGGTTTTAATTTTTACTTACAACTTCCCTAATATGAAAATATGTTTAATAGGAATGTAAATGTATAGCCTATATCAGATTGTGTGCTGTCTTGGGGAGGATGGTGGTGAGGAAGGGGGAGAAAAATTTTAAACTCAAAAGCATATGGAAGTGATTGTTGATAAATCAAAATAAATTAATAAAATTTTAAAAAAAAAGGAAATGTTTTTCTTCACCCTCTCCAGCAAAATCACTTTGTATTTACATCTCCTTCAATGTGTATATATATGTCCTTCTATAGAATGTAAGCTCCTGGAGACAGACTGTTCTTTGTATCTCCAGAGCCCAGCACTGTGTCAAGCACATAGCAGGCATGTCGGATTAATAAATTTCTGACCACTCCTTTCATCTGTAAAATGTCGGGGTTGGTCTCAGAGGTCCCTTTCAGCTCTAGCTCCATGGTCCTGTGATTGATTTAGTCAACACGTTTGTTGAATTCAACTGTCACCCTGCTACCTCCTTTATTCGCTTTAGTGTTTCTTCTCCAGGTATACACTACCCACTGGCTGGCTACAGCCCCCAGATCACCCCCTTTGGTATTTAGAAAGGTTACGACCTGAGAGAGGTTATCTAGTCCGGTATCATTATACAAGTGAGGAAACAGTGACAGTTTAAATGACTTACCCAAGGTCTTACAGCTACTTAGAAGCAGAAATGGCATTTGAATTCAGGTCTCCTGGCTCCCCCACCCAGGGTTTTTGCTTCTACACCATACAGGGTCCCTAAACCACTTGTGGTGCCCTCTTAACTCAGGCTTGGCTTTGTACACTGTGATTCTAAAAAAATTAGTGAGATTAAAATTAAGCAAAAAGAACTGTAGGGTTATAAGGATCAAACCTTCAAGTGACACATAACTGAGACCTATTTATTAACTTTCTTCAGATTTAGATTTGCTAAACTGTTTTGTTTTTTAGTAATTGAGAAGTTTCTGACATATGGCAGGAATGAATTCTAAGTTTCGAATGGAGATTTACACTAGTAGATTGATGGTTTTTAGCTGGACACCTGTTCAGTAGTTTATGTGAAAGGAATAAAGAGAAGCCTTTGTTCATCAGTCAGTAGACAGGTGTCCCAGACACATAAGACACTGAAACCTGAGCACAGTGCAGCAGAAGAGGCCTTGGGTCTGGCATGAGAAGACTTGGGTTCAAACACTGCCTTCAGTGATTATTACCTGGGTGACCTCGGGCAAGTCTCTTGGCCTCCATGAAATCTCAATTTCTTTATCTGTAAAATAATAAGATCTTCTACCCAATGAGTTCTTAGATGGGTTCCTTCCCCCACAACCCAAAGTGCTCAGGGTGGGCTTCTCCCCTTGTCTCCCATCCTGCTGCAGTGGCCCAGGACCTCCACAGGCTGCCTGCCTACTCACTAGGCTTGGGTGACATGGAGGTCACCATTCTTTCCTGTGAGAGATGAGGTCCGCCAGGCCTTACCATGCCCCCTGATACTGCATCCTTGCCCTGACAAGCTGTCATCTGACCTAAAGACATAACCTTAGGGACTCTGGATCTTGCTTTCTGTCCCCCAGCTGTCTGGACTTTCCAGTCCATTTAGGGCTTTGGTCTTTTCCATCTGCCCTACAGCTTAACTTTCTATATCAGCTCCCCTAATTAGAGTAGGAGATCCCAGACAGAAGAGACTATATAGCCTTTTCTATATACCTCCCAGGCCTTAGCACAGTGCTTGGCTCACAGTTAACACAGTATTTTTTCATCCATCCATCCATGGCCCTCTAGATCCCTTCCATTTCTAGTTCTATGATTCTATGACCTTCCTGACCAGAAGCAAAATCTTAGGCCCACAAATGAGAGATCCAAGAAAACAATATATCATACCAATTAATTTAATGATTCCTTGTTCATTTTCCCATCAGCTTTTTTAGATTAAGCTCTTGGTATGTTCCATAATAAAATATCCAACTTGCTTTTCTTTGCATTTATTTCACTAAATAAGACCCTACTATCAGTAAGCCTGCGTATAGTACATTAACTTACATAACTCTCATTACACAGCAGACTAGAGGCTTTCAAGTACTAGGGCACTTCAAACCTCAAGTATGAAAGAGGTACAGACGAAGCAGCCGATTTCAGCATATCAGAGAAGTACTGAAATCAAATAAAATAGTAATTTGTACTCCCTAAAATAAAATTAAGGCATTGCATCTAAATGTACAAGGATTATTTTTTAAAAAGCCATCACATACTGCTTGTCAGTCAACAAGCATTTATTAAGTGCTTACCACATGCCAGGTACTTTGCAAAGCACGGGGTTTAAAAAAGGAGTCCCAACCTTCAAAGTATTCACATTCTAATGGTGGGGCAATAATATACATTTATTAAGCACCGAGAAGAAAAAAAGGCAAAAGCAGCTCCGGCCCTCAAGGAGCTCACAGTCTAGCGGGGATGGGGGTGGGGAGGAATTAACAACTATATATTTACAAGACACAGTCGGAGTAAATAAATGGGAGACAGGGGGTAGTCTCGGAAGGAAGGCGGAAAGGCTTCTGGACGAAGGCGAGCTTTGATCTGAGTCTTTTAGAAAGCCAGAGGACGAAGATAAGGAGGTAGAGCAGTTCAGGCATGGGGGAGGGCACAGCCAGTGCAAAAGCACGGAGTCGGGAGATGGCGGGTTGGAGCGCGAGTTAGCACAGAGGCCATTAGCCCACCTTCCTCCTCCCACTGAGAAACACTTCGTAGGGCAGAAAGAGGGCTGCAGGGACCTGCCAAAAACCAGGGTCAGGGCCGGGGGTCTGTGCAGGGTCTCCGCCCCCCGCCCGTGCCCGGAGCCTCCTACCTCCTCCTCAGTCGCTTCCTCCTCCGTGTTCTCGCCGGCACCCTTCTGCTCGTAGAAGTCGAAGCGTGGCGACGTGGAGCGGGGATCCAGTGGGGCCTGGAAACTGAACGAGGCAAGCACGGTTGCTCGACGGGAAGCGTCCATGGCTCCGGAAGGTTGCTACTTGCCCGACCGGGTTTGAGATGAAATAACTCTGGGCCAGCAGGGGGCGGCTCCCCGAAGGGGGCGTGGCTGTTACCGGGGCACCGTAACCCGGGACGCCGCGCGCCGCCCTACGGGTGCCCTCGAAGGACGAAAGGCCTCGCTTCGAAGCCCAGGGCAGGGGCCCGGAGCTCCCTAAGGACACCGGCGAGCTCAAAGTGGCCTGCCTCCACCCCCCTTTTTTTTTTTTAACACTTGGTCCAAGGGGGTCCCTCTCCTTCCTTCCGGACTCTTCGGGTTTCAGCGTAATTGCCGGTGATTGATGATGACATCAAGACACGTATGGACAACCCATTAGAGGGAGCCACAGAGCATTCCTAGAACTGGTGTCCTTTAGGAGGGAGAGACAACGATGCGCGCTCTCGATTCTAGAGGCTGCGCGTCACCGCGGGAAGATTGTGTCAGCCTCAACTAACATGGCTGCCGGGAGGGCGGGGAAAGAAAAGGCGTTGCTCGTGAGGATTGGCCAGCGGGCGCGAAGGAAAGGACCAACCAGGGAGGAACAACTCTTTGTCCCACCTTTTTTCATCTTGGCAAGGCCAATGGCAGCCCCGGGTTCTGCCGTGCTTTGTCTGCTCTTAGAATAAGGGACTGCGGAGTTAAGTTCAGGTGGCCTGCTTTTGTGGCGAGGCTTCTGTATAAATTTATCCGATTGGGGGCTACGTGGGGGGTGGGGAGGAGGCGGCCAAGGGGGTGACCCCAACCTCTGGCCAAGTAGCCAAGCCCAGAAAGCCCTCTCGGCCTTTACTCCAGCCCTGGAATGCGTGCCCTTCTGGCCCAGCTCTGTCCTTGCCTGGCAGGCAGAACCTAGGGCACGGACAGTGACCGAGGACCCGGATGTTGTGCGCAGCGTTGGTCCTGCAGAGCCCGGCCCTTCTGGGACTTCGCCCCCTACGTCTCGTCCCTTGTACCACTTTCCCTCAAAGGCCTTTTTGGTCACCACCTCCCTCATCCCTTTGGTGCACCGCCCGCCAGGCAGTATGAAGATTTACAGATTTTCTCTAGGCTCACAGGAGGACCTCATCCTCCCTGCCTCGAAATCATATTGGCTCTTCTGCTGTCGTGGTATAGACCGCTGGACTTGCGGTCAGCTTAGACCTGTCTTCATAAGTGTGTGGTCTTGAGCAAGTCACTTAATTGCTTTTTGCCTCAGTTTCTTATCTGTAAATTAAGTACATCTATATGCCTAACAACTCTGAATATCAAATGAAAGGAATTAGCCCAGAGACAGGTACTTAGTAGATGCCAGTGCTAAGTGCTTCTTGATCCTTAAAATGCTATTATTACTATGCAACAGCAGGTTAAAGCTGGAAAAGGAACTGACTGGGGCTCTCCAAGTGAGAGCCTGGATGAGAATAGAGCCAGAGCAACCTTTGCTCATGCTTGAGGTCCACGAGTGGGAGTCAACTTAATCAGTCAAAAACTACCTATTGATACAAGTATCCCCAGCACTGATCTTCCAAACTATTTCTCAGGGTTTGGCTTTTCACCCAAAACAAGGCAATGGCTGATGACCAGATAACAACACATGGATGGGAAACCCAGGATCAAAACCTGTGGAAAGTTATTTGAGAGCCAGGGTACATTGTTATTGTATGGGATTGTGCAGGAGTAACTCTAGAGACAAGAGGCTATTGTGTAAGTATCTTAAAAAGGAACCATTTGTAACTCTTACAAATTTTTTTTCCTAAGAAAAAAACAATAAACGTAACTAGTTAAACTTACTTTGTAATCATACATAATCTCAACACATAAAACATAACATTTTAGTCAAATGTCCCCATTAGGATTCTTTGACCATTCTCAATTCTTTTTTCCTCTTATACGGTCAGTCACTGTGTACTGATCCCCTGATTCTTGTTACCTTTGTCAGGTTTTAAGATTAATTAACACAAGTCTTTTTTGTTGTTGTTTAAACAAACAACATAGTTCAGAGATTCTTTGTTCTTCAAAAGCCTCAAAATCAGACTCCTGCCTGTGTGGGCCAATTGCTTACTCCCAAAATTTTGAAGCACAACATTCTGGAGTCTGTGTGATTACTAGGCCTGCAAGTGTCTGCTGACCAATTAGGGTAAAACTGCAGATTTTTTTTATCATCATTTTTTTTCCCTAAAGAATACCCAAATTTCCACACTGCTTTGATAAATATATTCAAGTGATTTTTTTTTAGTGCCTTCTCTCTTCTCCACCTTACCCTCTTTTCTTAAGTTCTGGAAAGACCCTATCCAGTCAACTGGAGATGAATACATCCTTCCTTGGCCCACTGCTCCCTTCCAGTTTTATGTGTATTGTCTTACTCGTTAGGATGTAAGGTTTTAAAGGGCTGAGATTATACTGTATTTGTATACCTAAACACCAACCACTGTGTATAAGCACTTCACTCCTTCATGTGTAAATTACATACAGAGAAATAGGACAAATGAAGCTTAGTACTCATAGAAGTGAGTGTACATGCTGGAAACCTGTGCCTCAAGCAAAGAATTACTTAGCAGTCTAACAGTCATGTTTTGGTAGAAGACAGTCTAACCAACAGAGCTTTGGACGTTTTTATAATCAATGTATCAAGTAAGTTGAAGTACTGTGAGATCTTTTGTAAAGTTCATTTCACATAATCCAGCACCCTTAGGAACACCAAAAACTTAAAAAGGAAAATGGAGGTACAAAACTTGACAAATTGAGAACTTCACCAATGACACTGTTAATGTTTTTGCCTGTGTGTGCTAGATGGCTACCTTGTAGGATAAGAGCTCTAGCCTTTCTCTTATCCCAAAGTATAAATGGTAAATATGAAATGTTACTCCTTTAAACATTCTCATTTATATTAAAATATACTTGCAGCTTGAAATAAAAAAAGATAAAAGTTTTTGATGTTTCAGGGGCCTTCTCTTTTTTCTTAGGCTTGTTTCTCCATTATGCTCCTTTGCACAAACACTACAAATGATTTATACTGATTACATAAACTATGTGAAATGTAAAGTGAATCCTGTAGGATCATGAAAGGTTTAATTTAACTACCCAATGTGACTAGATGTTGTGGTAATTAATACAAGATCACAAATTACTGCAAGGGTAACCATTTTATATTCTTAAACACCTAAAAATAAAATGATTTAAACTAGGAAGGATTTAATAAATGCTTTATCAGAGAAATCACATTATTTTTATTTTCTTTGTACATTCTTTATGAATTTTACTTAGTCAAAAGCTATTCTAAATTCCTACATACAGAATACATTCCAGGAAGCATTTGAAATTTAAGCATTGTAACTAGCTAATTGTGTACTCAAGGCAAGTATATAAATTTGTGGGCTCCCCTTCTAAAATAATAGCATGGCATGCTTGGGATAGTAGATGGTTAGTTTATATATTTTCTATGCCCTTTTCATGCTAGATGCAAGCACCTTACATTTGGAAATCAGTACTAAATAATTCTTAAACATCAAAACACATCAAAAGTAGACAATTTGAGCCAAGGGAGAAAATAACACTAATTGAGATGGCTAAATCAATAATACAAATACAGGTTACCTTGTATTTAATTCAGATACATAACAATATTTTTGCCCTCTAGCCCTGTAGCCCCACTTTCCCATTGATGAGTTGTTCTTAGAAACTCCATTTTGAGAAAGGAAACAGCCATCTGTCATTCACTGGCCTTCACCAAAACAGCACCTAGAGGTTTCCAAGGGAACTTTTCAGCTCCCTTGTCCTGATTTTCTTTTCCCTCTTAGGGGTACTCTGACTGTCCTTTTGCTTGTATTTTTATCCCCAGTGCTTAAGACAATGGCTAGCACACAATAAGCCCTTAAATGCTTGTTGACCTGACTTGTTTGCTAGCTGGAAAACAAAAGCCTTAAACAATCTGCCCACTTATTTGTAAGCCCCCCTTGATCATTCTTTAAACTTAAATAATTATTCTTTAAATTCAGGGGCAAAAAGATCACTTGTTGCTCTGAGAAAAAAATGTGAAATTCAATTGCACTCAACAAACAGGTACAGCTGTTTTTATTTTTCATAGAACTTTTGAAAGAATTCCAGGAATAACAACAAAATCTGCTTTCTTGAAACCACATATTTACTATTTTTATTAGATTGTATCGACAGTTTTCAGATGGATGACAACTGGAAGCCCAGGTGTAAGAACTCAGAAAACAAAGTCTTCCAAACTACTAAGTATTCCACAGGGCAATACTCTTCCACCACAGCTGCAAATATATGTCAGTATCAGACAGATGCTGTATGTCAACATGATTACCGAGTATTCACCTGAAGAAAAAAGTTATATTAAGAATTTAAAATCCTAAAATCAAAGAATTATGGGGTTAAAAAGGAATTTTAAAATATCTGGTCAAATCACCTCATTTCACGGATGAGGAAAATCAGTATTAGAATTGATGTGTGACTCACCCAACAATCAGACAGCTAGTCTTTTAGCAGCAGAAGTGGTACTACAATCTGGATATCCTAATTCCTACTTCTGTATTTTCCCACTGTAACACACTAATATTTTAAACTCCTGTTGCACCTTTCAAATTAGTGGCATGAATTTCAGGTATAGGGGTCAGGTTCCCCTCTCCCCTCAAAACCCCTAGTTTAGCATAGCACTCTGCTATTCTTTCCCAATTGGATTCTCTGTAGTCCTTGCAACTATACTTTCGAGTTTCTTCAGCTTCAAGGGTTTATCATGATATAGCAGGAAGAATACTAGTTTTGTACACAAGTCCTCGCTCTGAAACTTTGTGTATGACTTGGGGCAGGTTACGTCAAGCCTCAGAATCACAACTTTAGAGTTAGAAAGGATTCAATGGCCATCTAATCCAACTACAAACAATTCTGCTAAAACACTTGTTTTGAAAACTTCAATTTGTTCCAAGGCTGATTCATTAGGGAACATTTTGAGCACAAATAAAGGTGGCTTATGGGTGAGAATGCAGAAAACTACACTGCTTCACAATAATTCACAAGCTTTAACCCTTTGGGATGCTCATTTCCACAGGCAAGCTTCAGGTCTTATTCAAGGAAAAGTGCCCCATTTATTGTGCATCTTCTGGTGCAGTGGCTGGAGGTGAGGAGGGCTGGTCCAGCCCTTTTCCACTTTCTGCTCTGACTTCTGATTTCTTAGGTTGGAGTTTCAACCTGCCCAACTTACATGAGACCTTGTCAGGCTCTACTCATGGGATCCAGGGTGCAGCAGCCTGGGTCTATAAATCCTGCCATTATATAGTTATATTATTTAACTAAATCATTTAACATGTATAAAACCATGCTACCATGTATATTAGGTTCCCACCTTTATAAAGTATGTTACTGATGAAATTTTTGAGTATTGTGACTCTAACCCCATTTCCCCCTAAGACCTGTGTTTTTTATTGCTCATGTTGCACAGCAGAGTGCTTTTTGAAAAAGGAATGTCAAGTTACAGCAGAAGTGACTGTACTTTCAAAGGTACTTCCCATTACAACATAGCTGACAAATGATCATCCAGCAAATAACTGAAGGCTTCCAGTAAGCGGGAAGTGACTACCCCCAGAGCCTA